ACTTGTGTCGACTTCAACTCCCAGAATTCTCCAGGCAACGTGGCTGGGGAACTCTGGGAGTTGGAAGTCCACATCTATAAAAGTTACCTTTAGGAGCCATAGACTTACTAAACTGTAAAACCTGTTTAGTAACAAGTACCCGGGTGGCCAACCAAATCCAACCAACCCAAAGCCTATCCCCGTCATCCAAAGAGCACCACCCAGGCACAAAGGTGCAATTAACAGCAGACTCGGGTCCACATCTATAAAAGTTACCGATCAGTCTGGAGGTGCCCCTAAAGCAGTGTTTCTCAACCTTGACCATTTTAAGGCATGTGGACTTCAACTCCCAGAATTCCACAGCCAGCATTGCTGGCTGTGGAATTCTGGGAGTTGAAGTCCACATGCCTTAAAATGGTCAAGGTTGAGAAACACTGCCCTAAAAGGGAGATCCCCCAAAGCAACCCCCTTGCTCAACGAGCAATTAAGGCTAAACATTGGGGGGGGGGCGGTGGGGAGAGAGCTGAAAGCGGGAGAAAGGAGCCGAGTTGAACATGCAAAACAAGGGAGCTGCCTTCCCCAACCGGGCGCCCCCTTGCTTTGCAACTCCCAATTCAGCTGGGGGGGGGGGAAATGCAACGAGCTCCATCCACCCACCCAACCCCAGGCAGGTCGGGAGGGCGCCAGTCCGGCCTGTCCGTCCAGAGACCCTCCCGGGACAAGCTTTCCCCCCCTCCCCGACACCAGCCTCTCCCCTCCCTCCGCTACTCGGTTGTACCGACCGCTCGAGTCCCAGCGGCTCCCGCCCGCGCGCGCGCGCTCACCCGAGCCCTGCTCTTCCGAAAACGCCGCTCTTCCTTCCCGCCAAAGCGCGTCGCAAGCCGGGCGCCCAGCCAGGAGCCGAGGCGAGGCGGAGGATTCCGGCGCCGGCTCCGCCCCTTGCCCGGCCGGAGCCTCGGAGCGGAAAGCGAAGGCGAGCGGGGCCCGCACGTGGGCGGAGTTGTGGCGCGGGGATGCCCGGGGAGAGCCTGCCGCCTCCCGCGTGGCCCGGAGCTTTTTGTCCCCTCCAAGTTGGCAATTAAAAAAAAAAAAAAAAAGACTTGTGGACTTCAACTCCCAGAATTCCCCAGCCGGCATCGTTGCTTGGAGAATTCTGGGAGTTGAAGTTTTACAACTGTTAAAATTGCTGAACTTGAAAACAACAGTTCCCCCGCTTCTTGACGGTGCAGCTGCGGGGGCTTTATAGGAAAGAGGATGCTGGACTCCCAGATTACACCAAATTGCTGGTTCTTGGTCCAGAAGATGGATGGGAATAACCAGGAGCTGCCCTTCCTTCGTCAGTCGGGTCTGGGGAAGGTTGCATTGCATCTTGCAGCAGGTAAACTTTGTGTGTGTGTGTGTAGGTTGGATCAACAATGGATTCTGGGCCAGGTTGAATTTGCTTTATTTAAGGAGGGAGTAGCTTGTGATGGTTCAAGCCTTTCTCTCCTGTGCCTTCGAAAGCATCCTTTTTTCTCTCTTAGTAACTTTACAATTAAGAAAGGTAACTTTTATCGAGCTGGACTTCAACTCCCAGGATTCCCCAGCCAGCATAGTTGCCTGGAGAATTCTGGGAGTTGAAGTCGACACAACATAAAATTGCCAAGCTTGAGAAGAACAACTGCTCTAGAGTGTAACTCCTACCATCCTTGACCGGTGCAGGTGGGGGCTTAAAGGGAAGAGGATTCTAAATTACCAGATTACACCAAATTACTGTTTCTTGGTCCAAAAGATGGATGGAAATAAGCAGGAGCTGCCCTTCCTTCATCAGTCAGGGCTGGGGAAGGCTGCATTGCTTCTTGCAACACGTAAAAAAAACTTTTTTAAAAAAAATCTGGCAGTTGACGTCTACAAGTTTTAAAGTTGCCAAGCTTGGACACTCTTGCTTTAAGCCTTGGGGGGATGGGGGGGGTCTCCTCTTTGGGAACGGGTGGAAAATTCCCTGCGCTAATCTGAACTGGGCACCTTGGAGCACCCAAGAGTGATCTCCCAGGCAACGCACACCATCAGAATCCTCCAATTTCAGGACTGCTGCCTGTTAGATTTTAGGGTGCCCCAAGGCATCAGATGGGGTGGTTGAGGGTAACCTGTTTGGTTTTAAGGTACCTGGAGTAGACATTCTGCTTTTGTTTTTAGTTTAATTTCTTAAAAAAGTTGGGAGCAAGGGATATTTTTTTCCCAGGCTTTCGTCATATTTCCCATCATCTGGATTGGAAACTCCTGAACAGGGCAGGTAAGGAAAGCAAGCAGGCAGAGGTGGTCATTCCAAGAGATATGTTGCACTTGCCCCAAAGATACAAAACTTGGTGCAAATTGTCCAGAAGTGCAAGGAATACTTTATGTGCAAAGCCAAGGTGTGTGTTGCTTGGGCTTATCGGCACAAGTGTTTAGAGCAGGGGGTTGGACTAGATGACCTCCAAGGTCCCTTCCAACTTTACTATTACTATTACTATTACTATTATTACTATTATTATTACTATTAGTATTACTATTATTATTATTACTATTATTCACAAGCGATCAGGGAACATTTCTGAAGGCTTATATAAACGGTTCAGACCTCTGAAAAGTCACCAAATATTTGTGTGTTTGTTTAAAGGCAGCCTACAGCTGAGAGGGGAAAGTGGCAGAGTTCCTAAAATAATATAAAATGCCACTTCATGCAATAGCTCGTGTTTTCTTTATTGCAGCAGCCTCCTGGGCAATACCCAATGAAATCTCAACCAGGGATTCCTGCAGCCTAAGCCCATATTTCATTTTAAGGCTCTTAAGAGAGGAGTCTTCCAACTTGGCCGCTTTAAGACTTGTGGACTTCAATTCCCAGAATTCCTCAGCCAGCCATGAAGTCCCTAGCAGAACTCTTCCAGGTTTCCCCCCAATTTTATTTTTTATCAAAAGTAAAACAGGAACACCCTTCAATCATATAGCTATTTCTTTAAAAAAAAAACACCTACACATTTCTGAAAGACTACCGTATGCAAAATTTACCCAGAGCGTTACAGTGATGTCTTTCATAGATTTTTTTTCTTTTCATCATGAATATCTTACATCATATTGTACAAAACCAAATGGTTTTTTTTTTTTTNAAAGTCTCACAATATATAATAAGCATTATAGTCGTCTGTGCTCTTTACTGAAGCACATGGCAGCCTCATAAACGGTTTTCTCCCAAGCAATATTCTTGAGTCACTAACTCAATCACAAATAAACACCCTGAGAGAAATAAAAACAGGACTGACCCAAAGTCACCCAGCTGCCTAAAGTAGGACTAGAACTCTCAGTCTCTTGGTTTCTAAGCCAGCACCTTAGCCATGACAGCAAACTGGCTCCAGTTTGTAATTATAATATGTAATAATATAATAATAAAATTAGTAGTAGCTACGAATTGCACAAATAGCATCCATGTGCAGTTCTAACTAATTACTTATTCCCTTGCTTATTCAACCAACATATATATATATATACTTCAAGGTGTTACTTTTATACCTGGTTTGTGCAACCTTTCCTCCAGATGTAGCCCATCTTTTCACAAACCTCCTTCAAGATTTGATAGGACTGGTCAGCATCCAATTTCAAAAAGAAACGGGTCATCCTTTTTACTAGACGTTGCCAGGGGTTCTAAGAGAGAGAGAGAAGGCAGAAAATGGCAGAAACTGAGCAATTCAGCTGATTTGCCTGGAGCTAATGTGATTTCCAACCGTTAGCTGTAACATCTTCATTGAAACTATGAATTTACCCTTTAGTTGTGTTATGGTGTGGTTTTTGTTTTTTTTCAAAATCATTAAATTCCAAAGCAAAGGATGGAGTTTAAACAGAACAGGAAAACACAATATAGAGGTAGTGTCAGGTTCCGACTAATGAAACACTTCAAAGAATATATTGTATATTCTTGCCTTGACAGGTAGTTCTCAGCTTACGCCCACAACTGGGGTCAAAATTTCTGTTGCTAAGCAAGGCAGTCAAGGAAGTGATGCCTGGTTTTACAATGTGTTTTTTTTCCCCATAGTTGGGAAATTACAATTGTTAAGCGAATCATGCAGCCGTTAATCAAATTGAAAATTGCTTGTGGGAAGCTGGTTGGGAAGGCTGCAAATGGCAATCATGTGTCCCTGGAATGCTGCAACCTTGTAAATATACACCAGTTGTCAAGTGCCTGGTGATTTGTCAGGGCAAGGATTGGCCGTACGTCACTTTTTTCAGTGCCTTTGTAACTCTGAACTGCCACTACATCAATGGTTGCAAGCCAAGGATTTCCAGCAGTGGTTTAAGAACATAGCAAAGCCAAGCGTTCCATTGGGCAATCTTACCTGTGATGAACCTGGAGTGCCTAGCAGCTGGCTGTTCAGCAGCATATGCTCCGGGCGGGTGGGTTGAGAGAAGCTAATCCCTTGCACCAATTTCTCGATATTGCCTGGGCTGCTTTCCCACAAGGAGAGCCCAGTTCTTGGTTCTGGCTGGGATTTGGAACAGATCTTTTTTTCCTCACTGCCACAACAAAAACAGATCAGGTCATCACAAGGTTAGTGTGCATCAGTTTTCTAGTTGTCCAGTCTCTTCTTAAAAACTTCCCGTGTTGGAGCATTCACAACTTCTGGAGGCAGGTTGTTCCACTGATTAATTGTTCTAGCTGTCAAAGTAGTTATCGTACTTTCAGAAAGCATAGTTTTGTCTTCGCTGGACTGTAGTAGCCTTTGTTTTACACAAGACTATTAAAGCTAATCTTGCATACAACCTATGTTTCATTCCCGCCCACCCCCCAAAAAATATTCCAGACCTAAGCATATTCCAATAGGATCATCATTAACCAATCAAAATATACAACCAGCACATCCAAAACTGAAGATTAATCCAGACCAGCCAACTATTCAAAAGGAGCATTTTGGTTTGATAGAAAAGACAGGCAGAACATTGTGATGGTGCAAGCCCATCAGAACCTGGGAGAGCTGATGGCCTTCCACTGATACACATCATTGCTACACCTAGCTTAGGACCAGCATGCTTGATAAGCAGCATCTCTGCAGGATTTCAGGCCAGCAATTTTCAAGCCTGACTAGAAGATTCTGAGATTGAACTTGCCAATCTGATCGCCAATCCTGCCTAGAAGAATGTCCCAAATTCCATGGTGTCAGCCATGGTTCTGTTGCCTACAGGTATCCTAGGGAACTAATGAGAACAACTCACACCTCAGAAATGTACAGAAACAGTGCTGTTTCTGTGAAGTTAAATACTGTCGATTACTAGACACTACAGACACACATAAGGGTGTCTTCACCTGTGTGCATCTGATCTCCAATCCTGCCTACAAGTATGTCCCAAATTCCATGGTGTCAGCCATGGTTCTGTTGCCTACTTGTATCCTAGGGAACTAATGAGAACAACTCACACTTCAGAAATGTACAGAAACAGTGCTGTTTCTCTGAAGTTAAATACTGTCGATTACTAGACACTACAGACACACATAAGGGTGTCTTCACCTGTGTGCATCTTTTACTGGAGAGAAATCCATATCTGATCTAATGTGTTTAGAAAAACCTCCTGGAGAATCGGAAGGTCCTCCTGAAGAGACCCGGGACCGCTTTATGCCTACAAAGACAGAGATGGCATGATTAGGATCTAAACAAAAGCAATTTAAGTTAAATTAAGCTTTTCAAGGCCAGGCTAGGATCTGCAGCTCTCTAGGGCTGTTGACCAGCTTAAATTCAATCAATCCATCTTTATTACGGTCACAGACCAGCACATTCAAGCATGTGCACATTTATTACGGTCACAGACCAGCACAACCATGACCTGGATGACTGGGAATCTCAATCTCCATAGACCAAAATACACTCACCTTTCCTTAAAGGTTTTGTGTACCATCTGTCTTTTTTAATGTCTGCGATGGTAAGCCTGGATGAGGGGTTTTCATTTAAGAGTTTCAGGAGCAAGGCTGCAAATAATAATAATAATAATGATGATGATGAAGAATTAAATGATACAAAAGCCATTTCAATTAAAATACTCTATTGCAAAACATCTTCAAACAAACATTGGATTTGCAATGTTCTTTGGATGAAGAATATGAGTGTGTAAAAAAAATAAAGCCGAATTTTTCCTGGGTTTCTTCCAAAAGGACATTACAGATCAAGGGAGGGAGAAGTCAGAGATAATTTCCCGGTTTAGAGATAAAGATTATTCAATCCGCTGAGGTACCGAGGGGCAATGAATCAATCTTCTTCCATGGGGAAAGATATGTCTTCCTTTCTTTCCAATCGCAATATTCTTGACAAGTATCAGCAGGCTGGTCCCACGGCAATTCTGCAAGAAAGGGAACCACATTTTTTTTGAGCCAAATTTAAGAAAAACACAAAAAAATACCCAGAAGATTCATAATTAATCCACATTCCCAATGTATAGATGTCTGCTGTTCGTTAGAATAGAATAGAATAGAACAGAATAGAATAGAATAGAGCTGGAAGGGACCTTGGAGGTCTTCTAGTCCAGCCCCCTGCTCAAGCAGGAGAATCTATACCAGTAATGGCGAACCTTTTAGAGACCGAGTGCCCAAACTGCAACCCAAAACCCATGTACGTATCGTCGGGTGCTGGATGGGCGTGGCTCATTGGGTGGGTGTGGCCCATTGGGTGGGCGTGGCTGCGGTGGTAACAGCAGATGGGGTGGGACTAAAAAGTTCAATCAATCAATTCCAACTTTGCGAGATCTTTTTTTTTCCCGCGAGAAGTTGAAATTGATTGATTGATTGAACCTTTTTTTTTTTTGCACACGGCAGCGGAGGCCTAAAGCAAAAAGATTTTATAAAACCCAGCTGAAGGCCTAGGACTGGGGCAATGGGGCACATGGCACGCGTGCCATAGGTTCGCCACCACGGATCTATACCATCTCAGACAGGTGATTGTCCAGTCTCTTCTTGAAAATTTCCAGGGATGGCGTGCCCACATTTTATAAGAAGAATTCCTGTTAAAAAAAGGAATTAGACCTTGAGTAGCTCTTACCGCCTGCCAACATCGCAGTGAGCACGATTCCACAGGACCAAACATCAACCGGCTCAGCATGGAATTCTTTTTTTTTCAGGACTTCGGGGGCCAGGTATGGAAGCGTGCCACATATCTTGTTCAACAGTCGCTCAGAGCCGTTATATTTAAATACTGTAGCGAGCCCAAAGTCTGAGATCTTGAGGTTGTCTGCACAAAGCACAAGGACACCGCATCATTCTTCACGCTGGCTTAATTCAAATGAAATCACCCAAAAGTGCCCAGGTTAACCCAGGAAAATTCCAGGTGGCTGAAGAAGTGGTGAAGAGATCTCCAGGTAAAGAACAGAGGTGCCATTTCCAGCATTTCGCTCATGAGCTAAATGCAGGGATCTTCAAACTTGGCAACTTTAAGACTTGTGGACTTCAACTCCCAGAATTCCTCAAGTCTTAAAGTTGCCAAGTTCAAAGACCCCTGGTTTAATGAATAGATTGAGAAGGCGGGGGGGGGGGGGAAGAACACACAAACCACAGGTGGGCTCGACTTACAACAGTTCCTTTAAGTGACTGTTCAAAGTTAGAACAGCATTGAAAAAAGTGACTTACGGCCATTGTTCACACTTATGACCGCTGCGGCATCCCCATGGTCATGTGAATTTCCCCCCCCCCCCGTTCCCCTATAGCCCTAAAGTTTTAGGGTACAGAAGAAAAATTACGTACCTCTTGCATCAAGTAGCAGATTCTCTGGCTTAATATCCCGATGTGTCACTCCTATGCTATGGAGGTAGACCTTATAAAAAAAATATAATTCTAGTAATTCTTTTCGCCCCACACCAACTTCAAAATAGAATGTGAGAGAAATCAGCGAAAAGTCAGCATAAAGAAACTCACCACGCCAGCGATTAACTGATGGAAAAATTTCTGTGCTTCTGATTCTGGCATGCCGATATCAGGTTCTTAATAGAATAGAATAGAATAGAATAGAATAGAATAGAATAGAATAGAATAGAATAGAATAGAATAGAATAGAATAGAATAATAACTTTGTCACTTTAAATGTACACTAATCGGCATACATTAAAATGAAATTTCGTTACATACAGCTCTCAAAGGGTCACCACCTCTGATATACACTACATAAATGAGGAAAATAATTGAATAAATAAATACGGAATTATGCATATACCCACATATAAATAACACCTTATTGTTATGCAGACACTAAAATAATCTGCATCTTCAATAACTTCTTTTCCCCACTAGAATTCTGCATTTAATGGCTAGAGATGCTAATGCTAGTAGAGAGAGTAAGATTTAGAAAGAGGTATTTCATTCTGCAACTTGACTAATTTGTATTTATTAATTTGCAGCCCATCCTATCGTTTTGAAGCAACTCTGGGCAGTTACACCATATAAACATTAAAATTAACCATAATAAATATGCCTAACTCAGGGGTAGGCAACCTTGGCTCTTTTATGATTCGTAGATGCAGGAATTATGGGAGTTGAAGTCCATGAGTCGTAAAAGAGCCAAGGTTGCCTTACCACTGGCCTAACCCAATAAAACAACAATAATATCAAAGTAAAATCATGGTCAGAAGATGAGGAAAGAGAGAGGAATAACCACCTAATTTGGAATCTTTTAAACTGGTATTAGTTTACTTTAAGGCTGGCTTGCTATAAATATATTTAAATAACCCTGAAAGAATAAGGCAACCATAGTTGCATTTTAAACCAAGTCCTTATTGGAGAGGCAGTTTTATATTGCAAATCTTTTAAATTCTTCTATATTTTCATTTTAAACTGAATCCATGCATAAGTTGCATAAAATAAGTAACATATTAAAAAAAGAGACCATCTATCTAACTCCTCTGCAAGCAGAGATGCCTTTTCTTCAACCCCCTTGCAGAAATGGCTTCATTTCAGAATGCCAGCTTTTTGTGTGTGTGTGTGTGTGTTTTTTAACAAGATACATACACGGTGCTCAGTCACAATGAAAATTGCTTGGTTTAGGTTTGGCATGTTATCGAATTCAACCAACCACGGTTTATACGGCAAACAAGCCACAAAGAAGCATATAAACTGGGTCTTATAAATTGTCCCGTGTAGACAATTTAGCATGGAGAGCACTTGTCTACAAAGTCTCTAAGAGTCAGACATGACTGAATGGTTAAAACAAGAATAAATTGTCCCACTGTGAAAAAACGGGAAATAGATCAAAGCCGAACTAAAATAACCCAACCAGTTTGAGTTGGCTTTCTTAGAGCTACGTAGGAATTCACACAAGGTTCCTTCGTAGTAAAATAACACTACCGTCCCTAGATTGCACCGGATCTCAGTCAGTGTGGCCCCCTACAAATTCTCCCATACCTATTCGGTCAAAGAGCTCGCCCCCACTGCAATATTCGAGGAAGAGGTACTGAATGGTGCCTTCTCTTCGGTGTCCATAGAATTTCACAATGTTCTCATGATTCAACATTTTGTTGATACAGATC